CGGCCGTAAACTCATGGGGAAGTGGTCCCCAGGCTGCAAACTCATTATAAGGTCATTCTTGGACCTTAAACCCACCTAGCCTCTTGTTTATGTCTTGGAACACTTAACCACATAAGAAACCTTACCTTTAAGCCTCATTTAATGACCCATTTGAGATTTTATGGCCAGGAGTAAACTCCTCTGGGCCGTAAACTCCTACAAGTATGGTCAATGGACAATAAACTCACTTACAATGCGTGGCACTCTTTTTGTTGCAACCCAAAGGCCTCCTAACACTTTGACCAAAGTGTTTACCACGCCTTAAAATGTTTATACTTGTCTAATCAGTGTTATAATGACAAATTATTTGAATACATATGTCTTTATATGTTATTAGGATCATTGTGTGTGTTTAAAGTCTTCACTTAACACCAAACACTTATCCGACACTTCCATCCGATCCACTCACTACAGGTGAGTTCATACCCCTTAATTAAACCTTTTAAATGTTTATAAAAGCTTTATGGGGGGTGGGGGAATACAAGTTGAATCATGCTAGTTATTATATCAATCACATGTGATTAATAACTAGCATACAAATGGATATACTATACTTTTAGCTGTTTTACCAAACAGATTACTTCAAATGACTTTCTCAAACGTTTTTACATGTTAAAACTCCTTATCAAACTGTCTTACATACTGTATGTTTCCTTTCAAATTCTGTTACAAATGTGTTTCAAACAAAGGTTTTCCTTATATTTAAAACAGTATTATCAAACAAACTACTTTCAAATTGTTTTATAAACTGACATCAAGTCATCATTGCTTAGTTATTAAACTTTTCAAAGGTTTTACAAACTTCTTTTATACTTTTATATTGTCAAATGCATGCCTAGATATGTATAGTTATATAAGTAATGTTTAAAGGACTTAGGACGGCTAGCTCGCTTTATTTCCTTTTCCTCATTGGGATGTGGCCTTAAGGCATCGGTTACCCGTCCGAATGTCGTCTAAATTTTAGTTATGTATCAAGAACTCGCTCTTATTTTCCACTCTAAATTTCGTGTGCCAATAAAAGGGGGTGTTTTACTTCAAGAAAATCCTAGTCAATTGAATCCTGAGAACACTAGAAATTTTTTAGTGTTGTTCAAGTTGTGTAAGGCTAGGCTCGATATGTTCTTCAATTTCCTTCCTACTACCACACGAAATCACTAAGGTAAGCTTCATAACCCCATGTTTTTCATGTTCTTCATGCTTTTCAAGGGGGGGGGGGGGGGAATAAAAGTCAAGTTTCGTTTACCTATTGGATATTTTCATGCACCAACATGTTTATGTAAATATTTGTGCTTATGATCTTGAATACCTCATGCTAACAATCATGATTTACAAGCTTCATATATGCTAGAATAAGTTTATCCATTGGGTACTTGCATGTATCATAGTTATGTGTAGAAAATGGAACAAATTCTTAGGTAAAAGGTTTTTATCCTACGTTAGTTATATAAAATCGTAATGTATATGTTTGTGGTCATGGTATAGTCACTCAATTATGTCGAAAACATAACAATGTGCATGTCTATGTATGTTTAACTCATGGACATGCATGTTCACCTTTTGAAATTTACACAAATGTTTGAATAAAATATTATGGTTATCAATTGTGGTATTATAAAAATCATGACTTATTAGATTCAAACCAAACTAAAATTTTTTGTCTTTCAAAATTTTCAAGAAGATACAAGGTGTTAAACAAACTACAAAGTTTGATATTTTACTTTAATAATTTTATTATTAAAATAGTTGCAAAATATCATCACTATTTTTGGACGGTTTAAACCCCAAGAAATTTTTGATATGTTTACTACTAGACATACTTATCATTAACTATTTATATGAAGATTTATAAATAGTTACACAAAAGTGAATGCAAAACAACTGTTGACAGAATAGTTTGTGTGTCGTAAACAACATGTCATGAAACTCATAAAACGCGTGTCATAAAACTCATGTCACAAATTTCTAAAATGTGAAATTATTTCGTGATACAAGAAATGAGTCATATTTCACGTAAATCTGTAAATGCTCTAGTGAGACACTCTATCTTCACCGTACCTACCTAGCGTACACTCTATGTCCTTTAATTATAACCAGAGTCTCCAGGAGGGAAGCGCGGTAGTTGTGTATAGATCTATACGAGGATTAACACCCCCACACCTGAGCTGTTCGCGATAGCTAGACAAGGACAGTCTAGGGTGACAAATATCTTACCTAATTTCCGATGCCTGAAGAACGTCGCAACAGGCATACAGTCAAATCAAGCATGGTTATAATGACTCATATAGGTATTAACAATACTATCTTGGTTTACGGGAAGCTCACACTCCATTAGTTTTATAAATTATAAAACTACATAGTATTGTTCAATATAGTATTACCACTATTCCAGTCTTAGGGTTTAAGACTACTGATTTTCATACATCAGAAAATTTTGGATTTTCTGGTAACATACAAAGATATATGCATATGTACATTTTCCTTTTTTTTATATAAGACATACAATACACTATTATAGAAAATATTGAATTTTTTGGAAGCATACAATACTTTTCAAACAAAACAGATACAAACCCATTTTCATACAAAAATACTTATGAACTCACCAACATTTATTGTTGATGATTTTCAAAATGACTTGTATTGTCAGGGAACAAGTAAGCAGGTACTTAAGTCATCGGGAACTGGATTCTTGGTTGCACATTGGAATTGTTACATTTCAGTTAATGTTATGTAAACTTTGAAGAAATACACTGTGTAGACAATGTAATCTTGTATCTCTTAATGTATGTTGTGTGGGTTTCTATTTTTATTTATATTTAATTGTTATGATACTATACAATGACGTCATTGCCCCCAAAACGTTTTCGCCGTCTTGGTTTCGGGGTTTAACAGTTGTGTTATCATAAAAAATATGTATCATTTAGACATCATGATCATCGGAAATCCTCAACTTTGACTTCTCTCAAAAGACGTTTCTGACATAAGTTGGCTATGGCATTGAAGGCTCGCTCATCACAATTTCTGGTACATGAATTCTCTGGTTTCCGGTGAAATGGTTCAAGGTCTGCTACTCCTTAAATTTAACAATGATCATCTCTGCGCTACATCTGAATATAGGAAGCAAAAAAAGAAAGGTCAACATGTTACCATTGAAAAGTCTATTTTGGAACCATCGAACTTCTTCATATAGATCTCTATGGATCATCTATAGTAGAAAGTCTACATCAAAAAAAGTATATTCTTGTGATTTTTATTACTACACAAGGTGTACTTGGGTTTTCTTCCTTAGGATGAAGTCCGAAGCGGACTTTGAATTCATAAATTTCATCAAAAGAATTGAAGTACTTGTTAAACTTCATATTCTAGGAATCCAAAGTGACAATGGATTTGAGTTTTTTAATGCCACCATTGAGAAGTTTCTCCTCGACAAAGGCATTGATCACAATTTCTTTGCTCCCTACACTCCTCATCAAAATGGTTGGTTAAAAGAAGAAATCAAACCGTTGTTGAAGCTGCTCAATTGATGTTGAACTTTACAAGCCTTCCACTCTATCTTTGGGCTGAAGCCGTCTCTACTACCCACTTCATTCAAAATCGAAGCATCATCAATCGTCGTCTCAACATGACCCTGTATGAAGAAATGAATGGTCGAAATTCGAGTATCTCATTCTTACACATTTTTGGATGTAGATGCTTTATCAAAAACAACAGTCATTAACTCACTAAGTTTCAACCAAAATCTGATGAAACCATCTTTCTAGGATACTTAGCTAAGTCTAAAGCTTATAGAGTTCTAAATATTAGAACTCATGTAATTGAATTAAGTTTTGATATAACTTTTGATGATAACTTTGTTCGAAACTCAGATCATACTCATGTTACAACACTCACCAGGGAGTCTGATGCTCCACCTCTTGTGTTTCTGAACTCTCAAATTATTTTTGAAGTAGATTTTAAAAGTCTATTCAGACCAATAGAGACTACTCTTGATTCAGACTACTCTTGATTCAGAATCTTGAGCAAGACCTTCCTCTATTGATGCTCCGTTTTGTCAGAATGTCACTAGTCTAACCCCCAACCTTTCCTCTTTTTGATTCCAATCCATTTCAACCTTCTCAAGTTGAGGGAGAGAATAATCATCCAACCCTCGAATCAAATGGTAAATGATTTCAAGATGGAACTATTCAATTCGTTGAATTTGATCCCATTCCGAACAAAAATGAAGACAATACCAACTTATTTTACTTTCCAAACGATGATGATGTCGACATATTCGGTTCAGAAGTTCAGGGGAGCATCATCCTCAAATTCAAACTATTCAGGGGGAGCGATATAACCCTATTGTTGATATCGGATCATCCGCTGCACAAGAACTTTTGAGATTTCATATTTGGACAAAGGATTATCCTCCGAATCAAGTTATTGGAAATATTAACGTTGGATTTCAAGCTTGGTCTGCTGCCAACATTAAAAATGAGTGTAACTTTTCGGTATTCATATCAATGGTTGATCCCAAATCTATTAAAGTAGACTTAGAACATTCTGATCAAATTACAAAAATCCAAGAAGAGCTAACAAAATTTGACATAAATCACATGTGGACTCTTTTCCTTCCTACTTCGAATGCCACAACCGGTCCGATACTTGTTTTAGGTAAAGGACGTTTGGGTATTTTTGACACTGATTGGTCAGATTTTGTTGACAAGGATCATATAAGACAATCAAAGGTCACTAGATAACAAGTTGAATATTCACTCATCTCTATGCATCAAGGAACTCTTCGAAGTCATCTTCCTTTCATCTTCCGATTAAATGAAGATACAGATCTGGAGCTTCAACCATTCATAAACGTTTTAGAGAAGACTCCGATTACCGAGGTTCCCATTCCATACAATTCTCCACTGTTTACAAGTGCATAAGTTCATGAGCCAAATGTTAAAGATGATCTTTCCTATGAGATCATGTTTAAGGATGATCACACTTCAATTAGTGTTGTTCTAATCCTCGCTGTTTTCAATCTTTTACAGAAGCCCTCCTCATTGAAACCTCATTACAGTTTTGGTCTCTCTTACTCTTCCGAGGAATTAGAAGAAGATGAAAATGTTGAAGGTAACAAACACTCCTCTCCTCCACCTAAAGATAACTTGAAAGGTGATCAAGAGAACCAAGTTCAAGGTACTCTAGTTGATGATTCCAGGCCTTTAGAGCCTAATGATGATGGCAATGAAGATGATAAAAAATCAAAAAGTTCCACCTCAGACACAGGATCCTCCGATGAGAATGTTGCGGATCCTTTTTCCATGTTGGAAGTCAGAGATAGAATTGTCTTTTCCAACTCTAAAGTCGACAAAGTTGATCTAAAAGTTATAGGCCTTGATATGAAACTTGATCAGAAAGTTACAAATCTTGATTCAAAGCTCAAGCTCATGCTCAAATATCTTTCCGAGATCCAATATGCTGCTCCTTTGAAACTTAACCGACCCAATCAGCTCAACCATCTCATTTCCCTATGCCTCAAGCGCACTATCAACGAAGTTGAGCAGAAGTATAATGATAGTCTCGATCATCACATCTCCACCACAACCATCATGCTTAAAATCCATGATGATATGATTATTGCCACTAATAAACTCATCAAGTACACTCATGTTCATCATGAGAAACAGATTCAACGAATTGAAAAGGAGATTTGTCAAAAATATGCCATGAACATGGTTATGTCAGAGGTGCTCATTAACCGTATCCGTTCAACTTATAATATTTTGGATGTTCTAGACCACAAATTCGATGAGATTTTTGTCATCCTTGATGAAACATTTGCCCACCTCAAAGCTTAAGTTCCTATAGCTGAGGCATATGACGCTCTCACCAAACAGCTCAATACAAGTATCCAAAAAGTTTTCAAACGATTGTAGGAACTCAAGTCGGAATTTGTATTGGCATCAGAGGTAGGTCCATCCCATCCAAGAGGGGGAGAAAGAGAAAGAGAAAAGAGAACAATTCAATGAAAACCCTTCTTGAATTTTGTGCTTCGATATGAATCAACCAATGATGAAATTATGGATGTCAAAACTCTTGAACCTCTTGACATAGCCGATGAAGAAGATGAATACTTAGCTGAAAATGTTATTTTAGGACTCCACGCCATCAAGGAACAACCTGTAAAAGTTTTTTCAAAAGTAGAGAATATGAAATGGCCCTTAATTTCTTGGCAATCATCTTTAGAAGATGTGTTCAAACGAAATCAAGACATGGAAAATCTCAAAACCAAGATGACAATTCATGCATTTTGAACTACTTAGTCCATGCTTCCTCCAATTCCTGCTCTGATAATTGCTCAAATTAATGAAGGTTCTCCCATCCGAACCTGATGAAATCCGGAAAAGCCTCTGATTCCTGTTCCATCCAAACTATTCATCACAAAATTGGGTTGTCAAATCATCTACTCCACTTCCAACAAAAGTAACAATCCCCAAGACAAAGGCAAAAGATTTATACGGATTCGAACAGTCTAGTAAAGACGTTTAGAAAGTATGAGGGCTGGTCTCAAGAACAAATTGATCAAGATTTGGAAGAAATCTTTCGGATTCAAACACTTAAACACAATCCAAATCTAATGTTGGTCATTTCTTCACTCTTCCAAGAAGGATGCCTTCCATGTATTTTGATCTTCCAACTCAAGATGTTGATCAACTGGAACTGTCAATCTCTCCATAGGGACGATTTTACATCAATTTTGAACCTCTAAACCTAAATGGTGATTCTCAAACTATCATCCAAACTAAGCACGAGAGATTGAGCACTTTCTATTCTACAATGCACAACCCTAAAAGGAAGTCTGGTCAAAAAAAAGAATCACCAAAATTGTTAGTTACAGTAGAAAAGTCCAAAGCAAGTTTGATCTTGATTGTCTCCTATACAGATATTTCGTTTCTTAGAATAAAGAATCTACCATCACAATCTCATATGTTGTCATTCCTTTGATCAATCCTAATGAAACCCTTGTCATTGTTGACCACACCTCCATGATCGTCAATCAAATGACTCAAGCATTGGGGCCTACAAATCAACTATTTGTGTCCTGAAGGACTACATCACTGAATTCTATCGATCAGATGTAGAGTTTACTCATCTTTTGGAAACAATTTTTTTTGGCCAAGATCACTACCAAACTTCCTGAAACCCATATTTTAGCTGACGGACCAATTGAAGAACCCGAACTTTGTTACATCCACCTCAAGAAGAAGATGAATCAAAAGGAAATTTTTCCAAGTGTTAGACAAACATCTTGTTCCTACCAAGATTCTCCAAAAGTTCATATCCAATGGGGCCAACATTGATTCTTCAGAACATGTGAAAAAGAAATTCATTGAGCATCTCCAATGGTACATCGAGGTCCGAAGCTAGCTTCTAAGTACTTACCTTTTGTATTTTATGAAGTGAAGTGAGAAGTCAAATGATTGATAAGGCCACTTAGGGGGAGATTGTTAATACATGAAAAGTGACTCCTTAGTAATCCAAACTGAAGCCTATTCCAAGATAGAAAGATTATGAGATGATGTTGATTCCGAACTGAAGATCTGTCTGAGACATATCCTTTTGTTATTTGATCTCTAAGTTTGTATGGTGCATTATTTTTTCCTAGTACTAGTTTGTCCTTTAGTAGTTGTTTTATTGTATAGTACATGGGACAAAATCAACAAATGTGGCATTGATAGTTTGTTGATCTTCAGTTGTCTTCTAGTTCATGGACTTTATGGGGGATTTGTTTTTTCTCTCACTCCTTGCCTAATTATTTAGATGTAAGGTTGATTGTTTACTTATGAATGTATGAGTGAAAAATTCTCTATCATATCAATACAAAAGATCATTCAATTCAAAGCACTCTTTCTTTACATTCTTATTGTTACTTTACCATATAGTATTCATACTGAATATCCATTTCTATATTGAACACTTTGTTGAATATCTCGATTGTGAGACAAGTCTGATTTACCAAACTTGAATGGATCTTTATTAGCTGGAGACATCGATCTTAAGTTAAATCAAGGTTTGACTTTTCAAACCTTGTCCGCACAGATCGTTTCTTGCTTTCACAAAAAGTATCTCCAATTTTATGGTAGCCTCTAATGCGTCATACCCAAAACCCTAGGAAACTCTAAGATTAAATATTGGAGAGAAAGAGAGAGAGAGAGAGAGAGAGAGAGAGAGAGAGAGGAGAGCATAGGAGAAAATTAGATTCTTTATGTATCTGAGGAATTTGATGAAATTTTGCTAGGGGACACCCCTGTTTATATTTGCGAAATAACCTGGAAGCCCTATATTTAAATAATAAAATAATAATAATTTATCCCTTCTCAAGTTCATTTTCCTTATATAAGTAGGAGGTTTCCATAAACCCTAACGGAGGACTCCAAAAACATCCACTTTCATGAAGATTCTGGATTCTCTCCTTTTCTCAACCTTTGAACAATTGTAGGCCAATCCTTGCACCTCCAATTAATTATAATTAACTCAGAATTAGTTCAAAATTAATTCTAATTAATTGTTACTATTTCCAATTAATATATTAAAAAATCATTTATCACTCACTCACACACACACACTCTCTCTCTCTCTCTCTCTCTCTCTCTCTCTCTCTTTCTTATTATAAATCTAAGCTATTTCTTGGTTATGAGGGCAACCCAAAAGGACTTAAATTTTACTCATCGAGATTATACCAATTTATTTAAGAACTTAAACACTTAATCGAACAATCTTCCACTTAGATAAGTTGCCAACTACAATTGCAAGTATAACTCTTAAAACCAGTAAAGTGTATTTTGCAAAGACACTACTAAACTCTCATCATAGAAAAAATTAGCCCTAAGATTAGTGATCATCTATCCGTTCGTACTTCCTGATATGATATGAATACAAGACGTTGATTAGAATCAATCTCCTGATCCAAGATTATGTTTCCTGATTTTCCGATTTGTGATGACGTCATCAGACTACTAATTAAACACATCAATTTAGTCCCTGTTGGGCCCAACACTATATTGTTAACATCAAATCACCGAGGAGTCCAAACATATTTCTTTTCCTTTATAGGAAAAAGGAACAAATAAAATTTGACTATATAATCATACATTCTACTCATCATAGCACACATGGAAGTACACTTTATAACAACCAGTTATAGACTTGTTAGTGTAAGCCAATGCATAACATATTCACAAACTATGACTTATATATCTCCGTTTTAAGAATATAAGACATTATTATATTAGAATTACTTTTGATTAAATCAATGAAGTAATTTCTAAGCGTGGGTTTAACTAGTACTAAAAATCCCCATTTTCAAAGAAATCATGCATATTGCTGCAATCCCCATGCAATCTCCAATCACTATGAACAATCTACAAGCAATTCACGACGATCTTAAATCAATACCTACTCCTAAAGTATAACCAACTGTGCTATTTCAAATAATTTTATATCCAGGATGTAAAACATGCCAAGTGAAACACAAGATTAAATTAATTAACAAATGGTGTCTCAAACTTTGAACATAAATAAATCTATATTACTTAATCAACATTCAATTATAGTTTATCATTGTTACATTATATGAAAATTATCAACTAACTATCAAAATCTGAAATTTAATATCATCTCTTAGCCTAATGCTCCTAGTATGCTTGACTTCAAGGTCCTAAAAAATAACGCTTATGTATGAATCCAATAGAAACACGGAATAATAAAACAAGTATTTAAATATAATAACTAATATTATTTATCATGTTTTTCACAAAGAATAATCCTCTCACAAAGAGAACTAGTATAATGATTTGAAAGTCTACAAGATCTCTAAGTCTATCTATTCATTAAACTATATACCTCAAAAGAAACACAAATCATCAACTCTCAACTAATAACAGAGGCTAGTATAAATATTAGTCTAAAACTAAGAGATAAGAATTACGCATGCAGATACACCAAATCTTTGTGTAAATCAAGTCCCTGATTTAAAGGGATTGAATCTTCAATGATAAATGTTGATCTCGTAATTAAGGAATGGATCATATCAGATATTTAGAATGCTTCTTCACCAAGTAATTCTGATCTGCTACTGATTATGATATCAGCACTAGTACATCATACGCTAATTAGGGGCATCAGTGTCGTGTAGTCACTTTGATAAGCTTTAGCTTCAACTAGAGTAGCTTCAACTTCAACAATGTATAACCATCAATATGTGTTATTAGTATATCATATGATCAGTGTGTCATCAGTGTAAGAACATTAGAGTCTACATAAACTAATCAGTCTTCAGTGAATCATGCTCTTCATGATGATAGTGCTTTCAGTTGGTTCACATGTTGATAACTCCATCAGGGCCAAATATATCATCAACATATCTTCAATATATCTCCTGATTAATGTGTCATTAGTGAAAGTACTTCAGCACATGGACATACTGATCAAGTATTCAATGAATGTTGTTTACGCTAATAATACTTTCAGTGCCTTTGGTGCTGATAGTGCCCTCAGTGTCTTTTACTCATCAAGTGATAATCTTCAATATTCGATATATGGATTTCGATTAGCATATATTTCGATTAACTATATAAAACTATGACATATCAGCTTGTCTAAGTTATATTATTTACACTTAGTTAGATAAGATTGAATGTCTAAAGTGAGCAGATAAACTATAACTATAATGTATATCTTTTGCATGATCAAATCTATACGAATACGTGTCCCAACAATCTCAGTTTATTTGATGATGTCAAAACTAAACTAATAAAGAACAAAATAATAAAATAACTAACTATAACTGAAGCAAAAT